GATTTCACTTTTTAAGTTGAGTAGCAACTAATTGCAATGTGCTGAGTCTACTGGAAGCAGTTTCTTTGCAATGTTCATCTTAATATTGAATTATGTTCAGCCACAGCATTTGCAATCCTGCCTGTTTATCTGATTTGAAACTAGTTGCCTCATGTAGGTACAAAAACTCATATATCATGCCTGATTGACACAACTCTTGCAGATCTGGCATATTATACACATGGAATAAGACTTACCTTTGCAACTATATTTGTGATAGCTGTGATTTAGGGACTTCACGATTTAGCTTTTTTTTCATGTGGCATTTCCTTTACTCTTTCCACCCACTGTATGTTATTACAAGCACATGCTGAAATATTCTATCCCAGCTGTTAGCTTCTGAACATAGCTAGGAATTCATGAAGCTTGATTCATTAGGCAAGTAAAATATATATTGTTCCACCAGGACATTTCATTATCCAGAAAGCATTGAGGCAATGCTTTTTTTCCTAGAACCACCCATTCACATCAAGCCAAAGCCTCCCATTATATATGGCTGTAAAGTCTTTAATTCACTTTGTTTTTCCACCGTCATCAGAACTAGGTTTTATGTATGTTTTTGGAAACATTTTTTTCTCAACATTTTCAAAAAGCTGTTCAACTGTGAGTCAAATGTGTGTGCTGGGGACACAGAGAATGGGCAATTAAGGTATTTATTTAGGGAAAATAGCTGGTCTCCAATTTGTGTACAGTTCCAGGCATAGTAAACAGAAAATGGCACAGCATTCACTGACGTGCATATGAAACTAATTGCCCAGCTAATAGAAATCATTACATTTTCTCCTATTCAAGTTAGGTGTCTGTAGCTAAGCAACTGACACAAGGTGTGATGTCAGTGATCACTAAGAAATATGCTGGCATTTTGGGTATATTCAGATACAGAAAAGCCAAGGAAATCATTATGTGCTCATAGGACTGCTGGGGAATGCAAATATGATATACTGTACCTGCTGTAATTGCCTATTTGTGCAATACCATAGGACTGCACGCTACCACTCACCCTTTCAAATAGGAAACCAAAAAGGAAAAATTAATAAAAATAAATATAAACCACACAAATGTCAAGTGTCTTTTAAAATGGCAACGATACTGGATTTGAGGTTACAAAATCATGAACAGCATTTAAAATAATAAAGTTTAATAACAATACAGAAATTTAAACTCTCAACAAACATTTAACGATCAGGGTTCATGCACATGGGCGATTAGGCTGCTGCATTCAAACGGGGTTAAACGCTGTTAAAAAGCCATATCTGGACAAAGCAATGTAACCAGAGAATTCCAGTCCTGGGCACCAGCTCTCTGCATCCAGTGATCAGAAGTCCTAATTTCATGTACCTGCTGGTATGAGTGATTACATGTGAACAGTGGAGGAAAGTGGAAAGATAGCACTGGACCCATAGGGTTATCTTACTGGTACTATCTTAAGGTATTAATGTTGGTGTAAATGATTTGGTTCCTGCTCAGGCGGCTTCTACTCCCCAGAGGATCTCCGCAGTCTTTTTTGGCTTGTAGTGTGACGCAACGAGAATTGAAATTGAAGCGCCACACCACTGCTAAGGAAGTCCAGATACAACTTTATTCCATTAAATGTCAGGGGTACCATCCAAAAAGTAGCCAATGCCAAACAAGCTGCTGATAAGCCTTGTGCTTGTGATTCACACTTGAAAGAATAAAATTATAGGTCCATTTCACTTCACATTGTTCACATTGTTGCCAGTCAAGCTCTAATGAAGGGGATGCTTGGACCACGAAACACACTGGCTACTTTTTGGATTGTACCCTTGACTTTTAATGATATAAAGTTGTATCTGGGCCTCTTAGCAGTGGTGTGGCACTTCAATTGCAATTTTCGTTACATGTGAATAGTAGCAGTGCTTGATATGTGACATAGTTCATTAATGATAATGATACTGGTTTTAATACCTTAACTGATGACCCTACTGATGAGGTGACCAACTTACGTTTGGAGTTCTTATGAGCGTCACCTATTCAGCTATAGCTGAATCTGGAGCATTGTTGATATCGTTTGGCTCGGTGCAGTCCTGCCTGACCCCACTGCTGGGTCCCCCTGTCAGATTTAAATAAAGGGCACCTGTTGCATTGTTTTGTTTCAGAGTTTGGACTGCCCTCCAACACAATAATGGACTTCCAGTCGTCGACTCCTTCAGCATCGTTTTTCTTAACTATTTCTGGACTAAGATATGAGACTGTTACTTAGTCTCTTCCTGATGTCTTCAATACTATGTATGCTTCCCATTCTGGGGGTTAAGTACTGTATACAATATTGTTACCTTATATTGCTCACTTTTCTTACTTAAAACTTAATAACAATTGAAATAGAACAGTGGCAGTGCCAGCCATTGACTCGCACAGAGTACAAATGTAGCTGCATGGCTGCTGGCTGTGGCTGTTCACTCACAACATGCACATGGAGCCAACATTTCTCTGCTGTAGATTCTTGCCAGCTAAAGTTCCATTTTGACTCGGCAACTGCAGCTTCTTGACAACATTCTCCACAGCAAAACAGAGGTGAGCAGCAGTATATGGACCTAAAAGGAAGAACTCTACCTAATATAGATTAGATTGAAGTAAGAATAGATAAAACTAATGAAATAAAAGCAGGGGCAGCCCCATGGGGCCACAGTGTAACTGCCGAAGCCCTAGCATACTTGTAATACAACAACTGGAGTATGAAAAGTATTATAACAATCTTGCTTAAAGGCTAAAATTCTGATGTAATATTTATACAGTGAGAAACAGAAGTATTTGAATACCCTACGATTTTGCAAGTTCTCCCACTTAGAAATCATGGAGGGGTCTGAAATTCACATTGTAGGTGCATTCCCACTCTGAGAGACAGATTTTTTTAAAAAAAAATCAGGAAATCACATTGTATGATTTTTAAAGAATTTATTTGTCTTGCACTGCTGAACATAAGTATTGGAATACCTGAGAAAATCAGTGTTAATATTTGGTACAGAAGCCTTTGTTTACAATTACAGAGGTCAAACGTTTCCTGTAGTTCTTGACCAGGTTTGCACACACTGCAACAGGGATTTTGGCCCACTCCTCCACACAGATCTCCTGATCTGTCAGGTTTCGGGGCTGTTGCTAAGCAACACGGAGTTTCAGCTTCCTCCAAAGATGTTCTATTGGATTTAGTTCTGGAGACTGGCTAGGCCACTCCAGAACCTTGATGTGCTTCTTACGGAGCCACTCCTTGGTTATCCTGGCTGTGTGCTTCGGGTCGTTGTCATGTTGGAAGACCCAGCCAAGACCCATCTTCAATGCTCTGACTGAGGGAAGGAGGTTGTTGCTCAAAATCTCACAATAAATGGCCCTATTCATCCTGTCCTTAATGCAGTGCAGTCGTCCTGTCCCCTTCGCAGAAAAGCACCCCCAAAGCATGATGTTACCACCCCCATGCTTCACAGTAGGGATGGTGTTCTTGGGATGCAACTCATTCTTCTTTTTCCTCCAAACACGATGAGTGAAGTTTAGACCAAAAAGTTCTACTTTTGGTCTCATCTGACCACATGACTTTCTCCCATGCCTCCTCTGGATCATCCAGATGGTCATTGGCAAACTTCAGACGGGCCTGGACATGTGATGACTTGAGCAGGGGAACCTTCCGTGCAATGAATGATTCGAAACCATGAAGGCGTAGTGTTCTACCGACAGTGACCTTTGAAACTGTGGTCCCAGCTCTCTTCATGTCATTGAACAGCACCTCCCTTGTAGTTCTGGGTTGATTCCTCACCTTTCTTATCATCAGTGATACCCCACGAGGTGAGATCTTGCATGGAGCCCCAGTCCGAGGGAGACTGACAGTCGTCTTTAGCCTCTTCCATTTTCTAACAATTGCTCCAACAGTTGATCTATTTTCACCAAGCTGCTTGGCAATTGCCCTGTAGCCCTTTCCAGCCTTGTGGAGGTCCACAATTTTGTCTCTGGTGTCTTTTGACAGCTCTTCGGTCTTGCCCATGGTAGTAGTTGGCGTCTGACTGTGGGTTGGACAGGTGTCTTTAAAGAGCTCAGACAGGTGCTACTAAGTTAGATTAATGAGTGGAGTAGAGGTGGACTTTTTTAAAGGCACAGTAACAGGTCTTTTAAAGCCAGAATTCTTCCTGTTTCAAATACTTGGGTTCAGCAGTGCAAGACAAATAAATTCTTTAAAAATCATACAATGTGATTTCCTGAATTTTTTTTTAATTCTGTCTCTCAGAGTGGGAATGCACCTACAATGTGAATTTTAGACCCCTCCATGACTTCTAAGTGGGAGAACTTGCAAAATCGCAGGGTGATCAAATACTTCTGTTCCTCACTGTATATCTGGTAAAATAGGTAGAGTGTACAAAGGACTCCTGTCATGTTCTCCAATGTTGACCTCATAAAAGGAATGTGTAGATGGTTGAGTGCCCTGTCTTCTGTGAATTGATCCAGGACTTTTCCCACTCTTTTCCCACTTTCCCACTCCTCTCTTCTGTATAACTGTTAGGTCTCTTGTACCTTCCCAGCCACTCTCCCACTGGCTAGGTTCATCCAATGATGTCCTCTCCCTTTGCACTCCATTTCCCGGCCACTCTACCACTGGCTAGGTTCATCCAATGATGTCCTCTCCCTCTGCACTCCATTTAGTTTAGTTAGGTTTTTACTTGCCTTCCACTTTTAGACAAAGCAACAGTTTTGATAACTATCTCCTCCTTTTGAGCAATTACTCACCTTACCATTGCTCCAGTACCACTCAGTTCAGGGTGCTAAAAAATATTGACATGACATTGTGTTGAAATGCAGTGTTTATGCATTTTGTACAATTACATCAGTATTCAAAAAAAATACAGTATATTCTTCAACCAGTAGATGGCAATGTTTATAGGTTTGTAGCTGCATTTATGGTATACTCTATGGCAATGTTTCTCAACCTTTTTTCAATCAAGGCACCCTTTAAAATTATGGACAGTCCCAAGCAGGGGCGGACTGACCATTTGGAAACTCAGGCACTGCCTGAGGGCCCGGGGTCAGTAGGGGGCCCCATGAGATGCCCCTGATACCTTTTTCATAGGCTTTTTTGAGTTTGAGCAAGGACACAGGGGCCCCATGATCCCCTATTTCCCAGGGGCCCCAAGAGTTGTCAGTCCACCCCTGGTCCCGAGGCACCCTTAAAATTATGGACAGTCTTGAGTCACCCCATTTTAGAATGGGGTGCCTCAAGACTGTCCATAATTTTAAAGGGTGCCTCGGGACTGTCCATAGTTTTAAAAGGGCACCCCATTGTAAAATGTGAAAAACCTATTCTAATAGTTTTATATAACACGGCAACATCTACACATGTAGGACACCCAACATTAGAGGTGATTTATTCTTCCAAAGCAAATACACTTTTGCGCACTGCTCCTGACTAGTATTCCAATGTTTCTCTTCTCCCTGAGTTTTTCTCCATCACTGAGCTAATTTGACCTCAGCACTGATGGAGAGGGGCAGGGGAGGGTCAAAATAGGATTCTGTACAGGCAACTGGCATCCTCCTTCTCAACTGACGATGCCATTGACTGTCAAGACACTGGCGGCTAGAAGGCCATAAATGGTGCGCAATGAAAACCTGTGATTATGTGTAACTAAAAGGCAGACTTGTTCCACCCGCTGGCTTGTATAGAAGTTTTGGGCAATTTTTAGACAATTTGCCAAGGCACCCCTAAAGAAACCTCAAGGCACCCCAGAGTGCCTGGGCACCCTGGTTGAGAAAGGCTGCTCTATGGGGTTGATTTACTAAAGGAAATAGACTGTGCACTTTGCAAGAGCAGTTGCTCCAGAGCTTAGTAAATGAGCAGAAGCTCTGCTGGCTTCCATTGTCCAATCACATGCCAGCAAAAATTCTGTTTTTCTATTTTCCCTGCAATTGATTGGGTATTCTTTGCAAAGTGAAGCTGTATCTCATTTACTAAGCTCTGGAGCAACTGCACTTTGCAAATTGCAAGGTCTATTTGCCTTTAGTAAATCAACCCCTATGTGTTTTCTCTGCATAAAGTTTCCTGTTTCCTCGTTGCAGTGAAGCAGAAAAGCACACGTGGACTGTGCACTGTATGTTCTATAGGGCTACATACAGAATTTCAAACACATCATGTTATAGAGGAGCATGTGACTCACTCCATGGGAGAGTGCTAGTCCAGTTAATGCTGACGTACAGGGAGTCCATAGCCTCTGTAGGAAAGTACAGGTGCAACGCGAAAAATTAGAATGTCGTGTAATAGTTAATTTATTTCAGTAATGCAACGTAGCCTCCCTGGCGGTATTCCCGAGTGTAGCTCAGGATAAAGTTTCAGCACCATAAGCGGTAACCCTTGAGCTACACTTGGGAATACCTTGCAGCGCTGCTCCGGGATCTCTTCTTCACTTACCTTGTCCTGCGCTGCCGCGAAGTCCCTCCTGCAGTGTCCCCTGTAATGTCCTTCGGCGGATGCCGGCATCTGTCTACTAGGTTCCGTCCCCTGCGAGCGTTGGGACGTACGGGGATGGAACTGTTGGGAAATTTGAAAATGACAAAAAGTGACATTCACTCAATACACTAATATCACATAGTAAAACATTACTGATCAAACCATTTCACATACATTTTGTCCCGAGTGCTTTGTCCTGTGCCCTGCCTGCATTATTACCGTTCTTTCTGCCTGGAGACTGAGAAAAGTCCATGGCGTCCAAAAAGTGTCCCATTAGGTCAAAATCGGTTTTGGACCAGCTAGAAAACAACGATAGTAAATTAGAACCACTTGCAGAATTGAGTGATAAAGATTCGTGGAGAAATTCGTCATCAGACACTGAAAACGATTCTGCGACTTTGCTCAGTGATGTGCGAACTTGGCGCTATATTTCAAATTTCAGTGTTTTTGTTTGATTATATTATTGAATTAAATTTATTATTATGATATTATTATTTTTTATGATTATTTATTAAATTATAATTTATGATTTCGTGTTTCAAATTTTAACATACCCGGGATGTTTACTAGACTCTTGTTCGGACAGATTTCAGTGAGTTATTCCTAAAAATTACAGGCCTACAATAAAAAATACATATTTCCATGCAAAAAAATGTTTACCGCTTTGATCACAGAAATATGGACATAATCAGACCGCTAGGGAGGTTAAAAAGTGAAACTAATATATGAGATAGACTCATTACATGCAAAGCAAGATAGTTCAAGCCGTGATTTGTCATAATTGTGATGATTATGGCTTACAGCTCATGAAAACCCCAAATCCACAATCTCAGAAAATGAGAATATTACATGCAATCAATAAAAGAGGTATTGTACATAGAACAATATCAGACCTCTGAAAGGTATAAGCATGCATATGTACTCAGTACTTGGTTTGGGCCCCTTTTGCAGCAATTACTGCCTCAATGCGGTGTGGCATGGAGGCTATCAGGCTGTGGCACTGCTGAGGTGTTATGGAAGACCAGGATGCTTCAATAGCGGCCTTCAGCTCTTCTGCATTGTTCGGTCTCATGTCTCTCATCTTTCTCTTGGCAATGCCCCATAGATTCTCTATGAGGTTCAGGTCAGGCGAGTTTGCTGGCCAATCAAGCACAGTAAATCCCACGGTCATTGAACCAGGTTTTAGTGCTTTTGGCAGTGTGGGCAGGTGCCAAGTCCTGCTGGAAAATGAAGTCAGCATCCCCATAAAGCTCGTCTACGGAAGGAAGCATGAAGTGCTTCAAAATCTCCTGATAGACGGCTGCGTTGACCCTGGACTTAATGAAGCACAGTGGACCAACACCAGCAGATGACATGGCTCCCCAAATCAACACAGACTGTGGAAACTTCACACTGGACTTCAAGCATCTTGCAGTGTGCGCCTCTCCATTCTTCCTCCATACTCTGGGTCTTTGGTTTCCAAATGAGATGCAAAGGTTGCTCTCATCAGAAAAGAGGACTTTGGACCACTGAGCAACAGACCAGGTCTGTTTTTCTTTAGCCCAGGTAAGACGCTTCTGACGTTGTTTGTTGTTCAGGAGCAGCTTGACAAGAGGAATACAACATTTGAAGCCCATGTCCAGGATCCGTCTGTGTGGTGGCTCTTGATGCACTGACTCCAACCTCAGTCCACTCCTTGTGAAAGTCCCCAACACTTTTGAATGGCCTTTTCCTGACAATCCTCTCCAGGCTGCGGTCATCCCTGCTGCTTGTGCACCTTTTTCTTCCACACTTTTCCCTTCCACATAACTTTCTATTAATGTGCTTTGATACAGCACTTTGGGAACATCCAGCTTCTTTTGCAATTACCTTTGGAGGCTTTCCCTCCTTATGGAGGGTGTCAGTGATGGTTTTCTGCACAACTGTCAGGTCAGCAGTCTTTTCCATGATTGTGATGTCTACTGAACCAGACTGAGAGACCATTTAAAGGCTCAGGAACCCTTTGCAGGTGTTATGGCTTAATTAGCTGATTAGAGTGGGACACTTTGAGCCGAGAATATTGCACCTTTTCACAATATTCTAATTTTCTGAGATTGCGGATTTGGGGTTTTCATGAGCTGTAAGCCATAATCATCACAATTATGACAAATCATGGCTTGAACTATCTTGCTTTGCATGTAATGAGTCTATCTCATATATTATATTACTCCCTCCTCACTGGCCTGCCTCGCCGCTGGCTGTCCCCGCTTCAGTCGATCCTGAATACGGCTGCCAGACTCATTCACCTTTCCAACTTTTCCGTTTCCGCAACCCCCCTCTGCCAATCCCTACACTGACTTCCGATTGTGCAGCGGATCACATTCAAAATCCTAACACTGACGTACACAGCTGTCCACCATACTGCCCCGAACTACATCATTGACCTAATATCCAAGTACCGCCCAGCACGCACACTCTGCTCCTCACAAGACCTCCTTCTCTCTAGTTCCCTGGTCTCCTCCTCCCATGCCCGCCTCCAGGACTTCTCCAGGGTGTCACCCATCCTCTGGAACTCCCTGCCCCAACCCATCAGATTATCACCTACTCTCCTCTCCTTTAGGCGCACCCTGAAAACCCATCTCTTCAGTGAAGCCTACCCCACCCCCTGCTAACCTGCCGACCTCCTCCACTCTTCCTACCACTCCATCCCCCACAACTATTTCCACCTGTACCACTATCCCCTCCCTCCTAGATTGTAAACTCGAAAGAGCAGGGCCCTTAATCCCTTCATGTTTTGCATTGTATTGGTATTGTTCTGTCACATGTTCTGTCCCCCTTTGTAATGTACAGCGCTGAGCGAACTATTGGCGTTTTATAAATACTGTATAATAATTAGTTTCACCTTTTAAGTTGCAATACTGAAATAAATGAACTTTTCCACGATATTCTAACTTTTTGATTTTCACCTGTATGTACTGCTTGAAAGGTACGTGTGCACTACCTCCCAAACTTTACCATTGGTCAGCGAAGCTGCTCACTATAGTGATTGGTTAATCAACAAACATGAGAGGTGGGAAAAAATGGACATAAGCTGATTGATTTTCTTACAGTCAGTATTTGCATACATAACAAAGCAACTTGGGGGTTTGAACTGCTGGAGTGCTTTGTCAGAACAATCATGCACCTCTAAGTGTCTGAACTGAATGTACTGTATACCTGTAGTTTTTAACTTTATATTAATAGCAGTTTCATTTTATTTTTGTCTCTGACAGATTTCTCTTCTTACCGCCTTTTCCCGGAGAAAAAAGAATCTCCATTTTCATTTAGGGCTCTTGGGAGTCTGTCTTTATTTTTTAAATAAACTGCAGACAGATTTTCCTACCATGTGTAAACCGTGTGCCCACATTCCCTCTGCTTCCCTTCTCTAGCACTGCACGGCTTGCTTCTCGCAGGATAACTGCAGTGGTAACAGCTTGCGTCTATTTAAACATATCATGTATTTAGTGCCTAACAGTATTCATTACCAAATACTGAAACTGAGGGAGTATAATTGCTGGTTTCTAACAGGCTGGATTTTAGCATGCTGAACAGCTTTGTTATGCTCACCTTCTTTTTCTGCTTGTATGCAGCTGGCATATGGTTATGTGATATCTGGAGAATCTTCACCATGAGTAAACAAATTACAGACCCCACTTTGTGATGATAATATGGTCTGATGAACACCAAACTGAGTGGGGTGAATGGCGAGTCGGACTGC